CACCTCGCTACAACCTCCTTTCAGGTAGTTGTAGAGAGCAATGAGGTCTCCCCTCAGCCTCCTTTTCTCCAGGCTAAACAACCCCAGCTCCCTCAGCCGCTCCTCATAAGACTTGTTCTCCAGACCCTTCACCAGCTTCGTTATCCTTCTCTGGACACGCTCCAGCACCTCAACGTCCTTCTTGTAGTGAGGGGCCCAAAACTGAACACAGTATTCGAGGTGCGGCCTCACCAGTGCCGAGCACAGGGGCACAATCACTTCCCTACTCCTGCTGGCCACACTAGTTCTGATACAGGCCAGGATGCCGCTGGCCTTCTTGGCCGCCTGGGCACACTGCCGGCTCATGTTCAGCCAGCTGTCGACCAGCACCCCCAGGTCCTTTTCCGACAGGCAGATAACCTCCCACTGTCAAACATTGCTTTAATTCTACCCAACTTTTACATCTTCATATAGTTCTACTGAACAAGTACAATCCACAAACTCAGCCAGTGACCATTAGTTTAGAGAAGAGCCATCTCAAATGAGGCTGTAAGAAAATACAGACCATTGACCAGGGCATGGTTTCAGTGGGGTTCACGTTGTGGTTCATCTTTACCTCAGATGAGACAGGTTGCTGTTTGGTTTTGATTTTGATGGTGCTGGTGTCTAACGCCAGCTTAGTTCACATCTAAAGTGTCCATCTCTGCTTTGACCAGCAATTATTGTTTCTTGAAAATTTCTGTTTGCTTTGATTTCCTTTCCTGAAATATCTGTGGTCCTTTCTTTTCGGTCAATATCTGACAATATTTTAAATTTCTGTTTGAATAATGGTCATTACACTTCTGCAGCAGGGGATTATAACCAAGTTCATTTTTCTTGAAATTATATTCATGGCTTGCTCCCCTACTTGTGTGATTTTGTAGGCCCACAGCTACACCTGATATTTCTTAGCCAGCCTGACAACTGTTTGACAAGACCCCTCTGACCAGATGGCTCTGGATTTACGCAGGAGTTTACAAAAATTTAATCTAATCTACCATTTCTTGATCTTTCAGGTAACGAGGGTACAATTCAGATAGATGCATGATTCATGATAACAAGGGACTGTGAAAGATGGAGTCAAAATGCATTTGTCAGCACGATAAATGTTATTGATCCATTTAAATGATGTCTTTTGAGGAAGCAAAGCATTAAAAATCATCCAAAATTTTACCAGTATTGTGTAAGGGAATGCAGTAGTAGCCAATGAACAAAGTAAACATTGACATCAGGGCATCTAATTTTCATTTCAGAAGTCACCTGAGTAAAATTATTCCTGTGAAAGGTTATCACAGATAAAAAAGTCGCAAAAATAAATTTGACTGAGTGAAGATTTGCTGTCTTAAGTGATATAGTTTGTTACTGTCTCAGTTCTGGAAGTACTTATGCCAGAAAACAGCTTTCATCATGTGCATGAATAAAGCTTAGAAGAATAGAGTACTAATTCATGACTGGTATTAACAAGGTGGGAATGTAAGACATAATGGTATGAAATTTGCTCCTGCTCGCACAAAAAAAAATCAGAAAAATATCATTGCCATACTGCTAGAAGGGCCTCTGTGCTTCAAATACAACTGAACATTCCTAATTGGTATTTCATAAATCTTTCTCTCATTATAACTTACTGATATCCTTTCTTATCTGCTCCTTTCTGCAAAGATGGAAACAGCTGAGGGCACACATCCCTCTCTCCTATCATGGACAGAAATTACAAGAACTCAAAGCAAGCGGGGACGCAAGAGCAAATTCAAAATGCAAACATGAATTAAACCCAGCTTCTACAGCTCCTCTATCCCACAAGCTGGATTTCTGTGTTTTAGCATGCAAAAAGAGAACCATAAAAATGCCTCACTTCTTTCTCCAGCTCTTTGACTTTGTTATTCAGTTGCTTCACTTTGGCTTTTTCAGTCTCAGTCTCGGCAGTTATCTCACGATTCTTTTTGGCCAATTCAACTATTTTAGTTGCTGCAACATCTCCAGCTAAACCAGACGCCCCTGAAAAGTATACATAAAAGCAAAGGACATATCTTACAGGCAAGATTCAGAATAGATGATGCTTTTGTTCTCTGTTCAGTGCACAGTGTACTTTTATTGTCTAATCCATTTCTCTCAGAGCTGTGCCAGGCACTTAAATGAACAAGTGAGGGAAAAGAAGCGTCAGTGATTCCAGCTGGATCGCTTGGTCCTTTGAGTCAGCATCACATTGCGGCTAGCAAAGCCATGTTTCACACTTCAGCAACAGCCACATGTCAGAAGGCCACAACAGTGGTCGTAGCAACATTACTATGTAGAAAGGGTAGAGGTGTTTTCTGCTCACCGCTGTGAAGGACTGTTATGAACAGGTTTTTGCGGCACATTACAGAAAAAGACAACACTATTTTGCACTGGTTGTTTACTACTGGAGGAGCTGCTGAAACAGAGGTGCGAACTTTTCTAGACATCTGTCCTAAAAGGTCAGGCACACTATTACAGTTGGGTCCTGGATAACGTCCAGGAAATGTCATTGTGCCTATTTATATGTCCCTTGTGATTCTACATGGGCTCTTAGTATATTACTCTTTTAATTGCTCTTTTAAACAGATACCTCATTCACCTTCTCATCAGAGAGGGCTTGAGTAGTGTCACGAATAAAGTAATCCCCAGGACTGGCTTGTGTGCCTCTTGGCTTTCATTAACATCACTTATATGAAGAAAAGTTCTCACACAAGTGCAAAATCAATATGCTTGCATACAATGTCCACGGAAACCTCTAGCTCCGCAATGAACACAAGCCTGCGATAACAAATCCTTGGTGGGGTATATGAAGATTGAACTTGTCTGTTGTCATTCTTTTTAACTCTTTCACCCTCCTTCAGTGCTCTGAAGTAATGACTTTTCTGCTGACATCTGTGAAGATTATATTCAAGAACTGGGGTGAGATGCAAGGACAAAAGATCACTCTTAAGTGAATTCTGAGTCCCATAAAACCCCTAGAGACATTAAAGGGGCTATGCAGAATATAGGTAAGAACAGAATATGACCCCATGTAACTATTTAAAAATGTTGTAGAGAAAATAATAAATTAATTATTTTTAAAAGTGTTTCCACTGTTCTTACTCCCTTATCTGAGGTGTGTTTCCCCTCTCATCTAGAAGCTATTTTTTCCTTACTTTTCATAATAAACAATGGGTGCTAAGGATCACAGTAAGTACTAAACTAACCAAAAGCCAGGCTGGTGCTTCCATGTGACGGTCTTCAAATGCACTGCACACATTTAATCAAAGCTTTTAATTTCCATGCAATGTGGGTGAGTTTCTTGCCACAATGTAGATAGGGAAGACAGAGGCACGGGGCAAACTGCCACAAGCTGGCATGTCAGTCAGTCAAAGGAGGAGCAACAGCTCATCTGCCTCCTGGTCCTGACCCGATAATAGCTTATCATTTCTCCTACATACAAGCTACAGACAGTTTTTAAGAATGAAGGTGTAATTTAAGTGTTATTTAGTTCTGCTTATTGCTGGTTTCCCCCTTCTCTGCTACCCTGGTCATCACTGCTGCCCTGAGCAACAGTGGCACCCAGTGGAGGAGGTGCAGCCTGCACAGTTCAGTTTTCAAAGGACACCCAAGCCACTTCAGAAGCTGGGCTTTGCATTCAGCCAGCGTCCTGCATGTGCCCTATTCAGGCATTCAGACAAAAGGAGCCTGAATAAGGGATTTAACACTACATAGCAGAGAAAGCTGCAACACCGCTTTTTGACACCAACAGAAGTTTTCTAAACTGTGATTTCTGTGAGTCATCATTTTTTGTGCCAATAATAGCAAGTCTGCAGAAGATCTGTGAGGAACAGAGATTGCTGTGTACCCCCAAAGAGCACTATACTTATATTAAGGGGCATATAATTATCCATAACAATATTTTGCGCCTTAGGTCTGACCTGACTACCTCAGATGTCATTTGGCCCTTTCAATAGCTCTCTAAAATGGGGAGTAGCAGTATTTATATTTTTGCAGCTCATGAAACTGAAGGAGAGAGTAAGGCACAGATCTTTAAGCATACATGCCATTCCACATATAAGTGTTATCATGTCAAACCATTGCGAGGAACTTCCCTCTGCAAATAAGGCAATGAGACTCCTTACATGGGAGAGACATCGACGTTGAGTAAACTCTGCAAATGCCAAACAGTGTCAGCTTAGACCCTTGCAAGTTTAGGCAGCAACTCTAAGCGTTGGCTAAATCTACACCCAAGTGTCTAAGTATTTTCAAAGTTCAGAGCCAAGTGTTTTCAGTGCTACTGCAAATTACTGCAAGCTCAACAGAGAACAACTCTCTCAGTTGAGAGCTGAATTTTGGTTCTTCCTAGCAGAAGCTTATTACAGGAGTGGAAACGGAGGCAACCACAATATGAGTGAAATACTCCTTTTTAGCATAAAGCAGGTAAAGAGATGTCACATGAATATTTCCCTGCCAGGAGCTCACAATGAATCTGTTATCCTACCTCTATTGTCATCAGCATCAAGCAAACACTGGAACCAACATAGTGAGAATACAAAGTTACTGTGTTTACCCGACAAAGCCAATCTGTCCTCCTGTATTTTTTTCTGGAGTTGCTTTATTTCAAAATCTTTCTCTGTCACGAGTTTGTATAGTCTGCAGTTCTCATCTCGGACCTCTCGAAGCTGGTCCTGGAGCTGCTCGTTCTCAGCCTCAAGCAACCTGTGAAAAAATAAGCTATAATGGCAAATGTCACTGTAATGTGCTTTGAATAGATGCTTCCAGAAATAAAATAATGCAACGACTGTATGCTGGATGAGCTGAGCTTACCAGGAGTGAGTTTACTGAATTAAGCAGAACATCCTGAACCTCAGATCAGAACACAGGCTAATGATCCGATCTATTCAGTTAATTATTTCTTCTTCAAAAATTCTGCACCTCCTTGTGTTGTCTGGGGCAAAACATCACAGAACAGGTATCTTTCCAGGGCTCCTGAGGTTACTGAATAGCCGCATCTCACTGAGTCTTACTTATCTGGTTCTTCAGAGGAAACCAGGCAGGCTCACCATTCAGCATCCGTGACATTCAGGCTTTATTTTCTATACTTACTGAAGCTAATAGAAGCCAACAGAGCACCAGCTACAAAAGCTGCTACTGAGGTTCTTTCTTTAAAAATGAATGCTTCATAGCAATTCACAAAAGACCAATTTCCTATGTCCTCATCTGATTTTCTTGAAAACCCACCGGGATGGACTGGCATCAGTTTGTACTGTTAATGTTGCTTTTTGGAATTCATTTAGAAACAAAGAATATCAAAAAGCCCTCTGAACAGGAGGAAATAGCCTTGCTTCTCCTGTTCTTCAGTACATTTAGTAACATTTATGGGTTTCATCTCTCTAAGACATCCAGAGAATTAGTAACTTTAATCTCTTTGCTGTCCTTACACGATGGTTCCTCTGAGTGTAAAGTCTAGAAGCTAAGGCCTTGGGGGCTCAATTCAATTGTGGGCACTCAGGCTTCTATTTGAGATGCCCCAGGATTATCTGAGCTCCCTACATGAGGCCAGCAGCCACGAAGCAGGGTTCTTGGGAAAACTTCTGGGGCCCAGTCAGAGAATCGACAGCATCTCAGAGAGCACTTGCCACCCATGTGTGTACATATGAGCCAACCCTGAGAACTACTAACATCCTCCAACTTCAGACATACCTCTTAGCCAGACTCCTCCAGACAGCAGCATTTCAGAATAGAAATGAATCTGTCTCCATTCCCCAGAGAGGAAACCAAATGTGCTAAGAGAAGCTGTACTGCCACTGCCTTTGGTAAATATGTTTGTGGTAGAGACCCTGCTGGCTCAAGTCAGTGGTTCCCATTCTGCCTGCCTCTCTCTTCCCATCTGAGTTTCCTCACCTCCTCCCATCCGAGTTTCAGGGTGGGGTCCCACTCCGTACCCAAGACACGGGTGTCTCTCTACGAGCAGCAAGCCAAAACGCACACAAAATTCAAAGGGGGTGTAAGTCAATATGACCAGTGCTGCCTACAGACTAGCTGCCACTGTAGGGTGACCTGAATCGCTCTCTAACTGCCACTAAGGGCTCTGATGAGGGGACTCAATTCAGTTACCGACACACAGGTGCCATTTGGGCTGCCCACCCGTCCCCCAGCTGCTGCTGCTGAAGGGTGCAGGTCTCCTGTGTCCTGTGTCCTGTCATTCCCATGTGGAAGTTCCCAATACCCTCCAGCACCTCAGATGTCATTAGACACCTAAGCCAGGCAGATGAATTGACCCCTAGATTCTCATTATCTATAGTGTGACCCTGAACGTCTACATTTTGGTGACTTAATCTGGAATAGTGTCCCACCCCTTTGGCCTATAGACTGATTGCTCCACACTACAACAGAAGTACGTAGCTTGGATGATCACAGAGATTTGGATAAAGCCCAGTTGTTACAGTATATACCTGTGGCTATAGACATATCCACAGTCAGACAAGTCAGCTATCTCAATAGTCACCTAAATCTTTTCTATTCAAAAGTTTTAGCAAGCTTTTTGCTCCACCTGGACTTTGGAGCTTTTACATGCACACTCCGTATGTACATGTCAGAGTAAATGACCCCTTAAAGCACTGCCATAAACAGCACAGTCAATTTATGAGATGATTCACAATCCATAATTAAGAAATGCACTTCTGTTTCAAAGCTGCAAATCAAAGGGAGATCAAAGGCAGCTGTTTACAAAGGAGAAGAAAGAAAGCAGCGATCTGAGCAAAGAAAAGGCAAAACTTAGTTATTCCCACATGTACCACTCATAGAAGTGAGCAAGAAAACTGTGCAGATGTAATTAGCGACACATGGACCAAAAGATTTTTAACAGTTAGGGAATTAACATGAAAGAAAGGTTCTAAGCTCTTAGCACACCTGATCAGTGATGTCTTCCACAGAGCTGGCTTCCAAGTCTTGACAAAAAGCACTTACAGTAGGATGGACAGAAATCCCAACTGCACAGAGCTGGAGGCTCCTCTGAGAAACCTCTCCATCCCACTCCATCGTGACTTTACATGTTACAAAGGAGGGAGCAGGTTCCACCCAAGTGGCTCAGCTACGGAAAGTCAGCCAAAAGAAACAGGCTGCAGAAAGGTAACCCTTTTCACTCTAGTTCAAGGAAAGAGAGCCAGGTGAATCTTATGAGCAGGGCCTATGACTGAAATTGAGATAAGTGTCTTTCCCAACTCTGTTACAGACTCTCCACATGATGGGGAGAATCACTTAATCTTAAATACACCAAACAGAGCAGGGAGGATAAAGTTACAGAAAGAACAGAACAGACAGACAGAAATGTCAGCTAAACAAAATTTGGGAGTAGGATGGAGGGGAGGAAAAATGAACTCCCAAGGCTCAGAGGAAGGGAGACTTCTGAGAAGAGAATGTTTTCCAAGGGCTGCTATAAACAACACTGACGTGCTGAAATCACTGCCACTGCAGACCATATGGAGTCCTGTTATTCTGGAACAAGTTTCTAACGTGTTGTCATGGGAATACTGCAAAGTACATCCTGGTGAATCCCTTCCAGAAGCAAATCCTGCCCGGATTTGATACACTCCTAACCACTCTTTTGCTGAATGCAGATGTACATAAGCAAAGGACAATCCAGATAAATCTGCCACACCTGCCATGTCAAATGGGGACTTTTACCAGTCAGTGCCACTGAAAACGGAGGTAAGGAATAGCTCTTGAATTACTCAGACCTAAACTACTGAACCGTAAATGGCAGAGAACTGCTGGGACTCTCCTGTACTCTGCAGCTCAGAGCATGCACACTGCACCAGGATGTGCTAGGGGAGCGCCTAGGCCCCTCTCCTCCACCAGACAAATCCACACCTGAACCGTGGGAATCAGTCTCCCTCGCCATTAAAAAAAAAAAAAAAAAAAAGAATCAGACCTCCATTGTAATCTTCTATATACTATCAGAACAAAATGTTGAAGGGAAGAGGACAGCTGGTAGAGGTCAGATCAGAAGCATAACTTGGCAAATCAGACAGCCGTGGTGAGGGACCTATGTGTGAAGAAGACAATGTATGATGCGACGGTGAGAACATTAGTTTCTAGGTCAGCTCCCTGTTTCCACAGAGACTTCCTTTGCAGCATGAAGACATGCCCAGAAGCACCTGAAAGTTTCAGTGGTTCACTCCTGGGTTCCCTGCATCTTCACAGAAGCTCTGCTGCAGCTTATGCGCTTGGGCATTTAAGGAAGCAATCTTCAGAAACAAGCTGAACAGGGAGTTGCCCAGAGTAAGGCAGAGGGGAGATCAGCATTTAGAGCCTAATCAACCTTGATTAGTGGCTTGATAAACTTTGGTAGAGGTGCCCTTCCCCACTCCGGATTCTGGGAAGGGAAACTGTCTCATCTGTGCGTTTCCACCCATGATCTGCTGGCTTTGGCAGAGCTGCCAGCTCCTCCTTCCCGCCCCCGTATCACAGTACATCACCCCATCACGGTGCCAATAAAACAGTCTGTGGGGCTAAAGCTGTAAACTGGATCACGGAAGTGACTCGAGAATAAAAGCACCCTTCCCCTAGAAAGTGAATCCAGTTTCCAGCAAACAGCTGTATCAGCACAGTTGCAAGTGGGGAGCAGAAGCAGGAATTTCTTCAGCTGGCTTCACCACTAACATGGAGCAAATCCCTGAATGGCCAACGCTGTAGTAACTGCAGCCATCACTGGGACGTGTCCAACTTTAGACCTGGTCTAGTTTGTAAAAAAAATATTAATTGGGTCAGAAAGAGAGACTGACTATATCCTAGGAGGAAGATGAATGATCTGAGCTGGGGTTTCAAATCTCTGCTTCAGTAAATTGAATTATGCACTCAGCTCCAAAAACAAGATCGAGGGAGATCCACACCAGCATGTCCAATGTCCTGGTAACCCGGATACTACCCCAATGGGTGAAGTAAGACTCAAGCCCCTGTCCCCAGTAAGATTTAAAACCCTACCTTGTATAACCCTGCCAAGTATCTTAACCAGGAGGCAGCTCTGTCCATGAGACCCTCCTACGTAGCTGGTTGTCTTTTGATCTACTAAATCAGGTTATATTGCAAAGATAGCCAGGGGAACACTTTTCTGCGCTGCAGGCCTTTGGCTTGCACCCATTAGTTGCTTTGCCCTTATCTGTCTTTGGAAATTATTCATGTAGGGAACATGTATGTTTACAAGGCTAGGCAGGACCTAACCAACAGTTCAGAGGATGTTAGTCATCCTGAATGACTGGATTTCGTCAGATAGCACCTAGCTGCCCCTAGCACGTCACCCTTCACCCCTCTGTTCTTCCACTCCTCATTTGTGAAACACTGATAATAAAAAGCACATCACAACGCTCCGAGGATAAACATGTTAGGGACAGCGAGAGTCTTCTCGGGGTAACGGAAGCCCAATATGTGAAGACAGAAAGTGCTCTGACAACTTAATATGAGTTTCGTAAGATCATATGCAAAATACCCTTCTGTGACTTCCTGAAGGAACGGTGCTGCTACACCTTTACCTTTTGCCGTCATCTTCATTTACAGGTTGTCCTGTTTCAAACAGGTTTAGATCATTCGGGATTCTGAAAGCCTCCTTTGTGTTGCCATTATCACCTTTCTGACCGTTCTGCTTTTCCTTCTTCCTCTCCATTAGATTTTGCAGCCGCCTTTGCTGTTGTTCTTGATAAGCCTTAAACTGGCTTTTAAAATGTTCATTCCCTTTTATGTCTGACTCCATTGTTTACTAAAAGCATAACAAGAAGAAAATAAAAAGGGACAGAGAGCAGAGATCAACATCGCTTTGAAAAACATCCTCTTCTAGCAGCTGCTTCGCAGTTTTTCCTCACTGACCTCTGCACAGTCTCCCTGCCACCTCCTCCTCTCAGCCACTGTGCTCTTCAGCCCCTCGCTGAAGGCCTTGCTTCAAGGGCCTTTTTCCATAAACGGCTTTCAAACAGTCTTCAGAAAAGTTTGTGGGTCTTCTTCACTGTAGCATTCAAAAAGCAATGTTTTAAAATGTTTTTTAAATGGATCTGTTTAAATAAATATTTTTACAGAGGAGCAAGTTGGGGTCAAATCCAAGCGAATGTGGCAACCACATTCGACTGACTGAAGGGAACACAGACTGTTTGCGACCCAGGGCCATCCAGCCTTCCTTCCCATGTCTCAAAGAAAGGTGCAGATCCCCCCATTTTTGGGTTAATGTGGGACTGACAGAGGAAAAAAAGATCTCTGTTTATCCTAATACTCCCTCTGGGCACTAGACACCAAGAGTGTGACTTACGTCTTTCCCCCAAATTTCTAAGCATTAGGTGACAACATTAAAGTGATAATATTGCTACCCATTTAAAAGTCTAGAGCTTTACTTAGTATGACTAAAGATGATCAGTTTTCCGTGTATTCCAGCCCCCTCTCCTTCTGTTTGACATTTACTGTCAGCAAAAAAATCCAGGGGACCTTTGGTCTAGCAAAAGCAACCAGTACAAACTTTCACAGGCAACTTAATTACTCCACTGAGTAATTAAGGCAGGGCCTTTCTCACACTAAGGCAGCAATCATCCTGATAAAGTGCCAAAACACAGGCGATGTCCCTGTATGTACCGTATGGGCAGAGACGCATTGCGAGCAGCTTTACCTCCACGCCTGCCTCCGGCTGTGGACAAGGTGTATTAAGGATTGGCAAGTGCGAAGAGGGGGGGCCGGTGCCTCCGCGCAGCCCCAGGCCGCGGGGGTATGAGCGATGGTGGCCTGGGGGCAACCTTTAGCCCTCCAGCCTACCTGGGCACCGACCCCAAACCTGGCGCAGAGGGACCTGCCGCAGAGCTGCTGCCTGGGGAGAGGGGGTTCCCTCTCTTCCCCGCCCAACGCCCGCCTTGTCCCGCGGCCTGACAGGGCCTGACAGAGCCGCGCTGCCTCCCCCA